AGCCGCGGTGTTGCTGAGGTGTCTGACCCCAGCTCTTTTTCGTGCCTTGGAAGCCAGCGGCCCTTTTGCCCCCGATTTCGGCGGAGATAAGGTCAAGTCCCCAGAGACCCGGCTGCAATCCAAAAGGAGCTCGCGGGGTTGCCAGCCCCAGGAGATGGATGGGCTCTGCGGCTCCCTGAGCTGCAAGCGGACGTGGGGCAGGATTTCGGTGGAGCTGGAGTTACTGGGGCCGTGGTGGAGAGGTGCTCTGTCTTTTGTACCGGTCCAAGCCGGGGAACAGAGCAAGTGTCTGTGTAGCTCTGCGTGGTGGGACTGGGTGAGAAAACACCCTGCGGCAGCTGGGAGAGGGTGGCCTCATCCCTGCAGTGCTCAGGGGATCGCTGCGGCCAAATTCCCTTTCGTCACCGCTTTCCTTAGCGCCCAGCCCCATCCCATCGGTCAGGCGTTCTCCAGTCGCCACGTCGTCTTGCTGCCATGCGTTTGGTTGACCTGGGTTGCGAATAACCGCCCTCCTTCCCCGACGTGTGCGCTTAGTTGTCGGACCCGAGTGCATGATTTCCTGAGGCAGGACACTGACTTCAGTATCTGCAGGTGCCAAATGTTATCAGTCCGTTCTGGTTTTGTGCTGCTCTTGCATCAAATACTCCAGCTCCAGGATGGGGCTATCTGATGCTTACCTTTGCTTGCATCTTCAGTGGAAATGTGTATTATTTATTAACACAGGTGAGGGCTCCTAACTTGTTTGGTTTTGAAAACTGAATTATTTGTCAGCCCTTAAAAGGCCAATTCAGATTCATTCCAAATTTTATTTGATTAAAGCCACGATGCTTACTGTTGGAAAAATGAAATACAAATAGCTTTAAGTTACTCTGTTTCAGATGGGTAAATGTCACACACAGAATGAAGGGATTTTTTTTTTACTAGGTTTAAGTGTAACGGAGTCTTTATTTAGTGTCATGTTTTTATTTAAAAGCATTTATTTAAAGTTCTAAAAAACAAAGAATTCAATAAAGCAAGACAGGTGTAACTGCAAATGATTAATGATATAATTCTCAGTACTTTATTAAGTGTCTAACGCTGAAGAGATTTATACAGTGCAGAATGGCAATTGTGCTTTGATGGAAGGAATAGGTAATCAATACCTGCAAGCTTAGAAAAAGTGTTCTATTTCCTCCTCTAATGATATAGGGCTTTTTGCAAGGCAAGGATGTCTGGAGCATGAGACACTTGGAAGAAGAATTAATTTGAAATCTGTAGTGGAAGATCAGTTTCAATTAAAACTGCACTTGAATGTCCATGGAAAAACAGGCAGTTAGGCCTAAGCCTCCTGATGGCTACTAGTGAATAAATGAATCCCACTGCACTGTTCTTGATTACATTTTATAGGTTGTTGAGCATATTTTTTTCTGGATAGGGGATAGAATTTATTTACTTTGGTCTCAGGCTCAAAAATAAAAATCTTCTTCTCACTCCCCTAGCCCGCCTCTGCGTTTTCAGGCTAATTGTTAAAGCTGGGATGGCCCCAATCCTGCGCTGCTGGGAATGGAGATGTTGGGGTCGTGGCCTCTATTTCTGTCTAGAAATGCTGCCATAATGGCGTAGGTCATATTGCATGTAATAATTTGCATATCAAAAACTTCTGAAAGAAATTAATGGAAAACCTAGCCGTTTACAAAATCCTGTGCTGATTTTAACTAGCAGGTCTTGAACCTCTAAATCAGAGCTTAGCCTTATGACTGTAATTTGGGATGTCAGGACTTTGAGTCACAGCACCAGCACTAAGTTGGGGTTTTGAATTGCTGAGAGAGTTTCATTGCATTAGATTTTTCTTTAATAATTCAGCACCAGTACGGAAACATTTTATGCATGAAAACTAATACTATCGCAGGAAGAGAGCAGATACTGCTAGGCTTTTTTTTTTTTTTTTTTTTTTTAAATTATAGATTTAGAAGCAAGTGAAGCTACTGTATTTATAGAAAGAGCTGTATTGCTCTTAAATTAATCCAAACAAGTTAAATTAATTTAAAAAAAAAAAGGCAGACTTGATTAGTGTTTTTTAAAATGATACAAAGCTATACAAGCCTTTAAAGGTCTGTGAAAAACTACATTTCAGTGAGAGTCAGTCCCAGTACCTAAGTCACTTGAGGTTTTAATTCAACCTGGTGGTTGGTTGGTTTGTTTGTTTGTTTACCCTTATGGTTTATTTTATTCATTTTGACAAGACCGTTTTCAGTGTAAATTGGTTGAGAGCTGGCTATACTTTAAAAAAAAGAAAAAGTCTTTGTGACAAGATGCATGGAAGGAGCCCTACAGCCCCTGTTAAAATAAATCCACCTACTCAAAAAAAAAAAAAAAAAAATCTCCCCATTGACACCAAAATACTTAAAAAAGAAAAATTTCAGTGCACAGCTCCTTTTGAATGCACAGCTGAAACCACTGCGATAGCCTCTGTGAGCAGAGTGCTTTTGAAAGGCTCACCCCATGTTTATAACAAAGCCAAAAAACGAGAGCTGGCAGGTTTGATGATTATGTGTAGTACTAAACATTTTAAAGCAAATTGCCAAATTTCATGGAGTAAATGCAAGGTTATATGAAAAGTAAATCTGAATTGCCAATTAATTCACTGCAAACCAATTACTAAGAGCATCCTGATTCAGAAAAAATATCTGTTTGAGGGAACGCGTTTGGTTTTCCCCATATAGGTTTTTTAATAATTCTATTCTCCTTTTTTGTGGTACACTGGGAAATTAACTGGAATTGGCTTTCGCTGACAATACAAGTTGAACCATGGGATAAACGAAACTGATTTTTAACCTGGGCAGATGATGTAAATGATTTTTAAAGGATGTTGCTATTTTGCCTAATTGTAGTTGAAAGTAAAACACTTTCTTGTTGTTTTGGTTACGATACAGCGTTTGTGTGTGATGAGTATAGCACAAAATCTTGCTATTGATTAAGTGTCCTGCATTAGCAGGAAGAATGCATTTTGCAACTAGACAGATTAAAACCCAGGGGCCAAAGAAACTGGCCTTCACAACTGCTGGGTTTGGATGGCACTAATTGAATTTACATGCGCTTCTCAGACGCAAGGGTAATAAATGCATATTGGTGCATCATTTACTGCTGTCTGCCTATCGAACAGACATGCTGACTGTGTAGTTCAGAGGTACGATACAGGTATGACATCAGGGGTCTCGGGAGAGCAGAGTTCAACTCTGGGTTGTACCTTGGTTTTGGTAGATGAGCTTGGGCAAATTGCTTCCCTTCTCGGGCCATCAATTTCCCTGTCTTTACATGAGAATAATGTTGCTGATCCCTGCTGTAAAGCATTTCAAGAACTGTGAGTGAAAAGCGCTTTACAAGAACTCTGTGCTGTTATTTCAGGAGCTTAAACCACTGTTTGCACTCACAGGAAGATAATCTCTTAGTCTCTGTTAATACAATTTAAGAGTTGGAGAGGGAGGTCATAAGAAAAAATTGAAATTCACTGGAGATCCTCCTGCATGTGCTGCTGAGGGTCGCAGGTTAGAGCTGGTGGGGATGACAAGGTCTTTGCCTGAAACCTTTTATTTTCATGTATTATTTTTATTGACTCTTCATGCTGGAGAACCTTGCAGAATGGGCAGGGTGAGTTAGGGCTGTGGCAGACAACCTCTGGCAGATTTAGTGGTGGTTTGCGATACTAGTTTTTGCAGCCCCACCGCCACACCATAAGACACTGCTGCTTTTCTTCTCCTAGCAGCAGTGCTCGTGCAATCTTGTCACGAAATTTAGTTAAACAGTTTGGGGTCTGAGGACTCATTAATACACCAAAAAGTAATCTGGAGCTGGTGAAAGCTCCAGAACAGGAGCAGGACGCACTCCTCCTGCTGTGCCTTGTGGGTTGGGTGGACAGCTGTGATAACACTGAGTATCTTAAACTACTAAAAAATACTTTCAAGCATTTTGCTGAGCCTGTGAGGACCCTGATGTGCTGGGGAGAGAGGCTGCTGGTGCCATTTCTCTTCACAGCTGTAGCATGCTCATCTCTTACCGACCTTGAACAGTGGCTAGCGATGTGCTCACAAAATACAGAAGTTTATATTGCTTTCTAGAACTTAAACTACTCCCTGCAATTTTTTTAAATAAAAAAAAGAGAGTAGAGGGGTGTGGAGAGGAGGAGAGGTGACAGTATTTGGCTCTGCGTCTGCTTTTGGCTAGCTGTCATGTAATACGGATGGCTCTGATGTGCCCAGGTACAGCCACATATGCAAGACACTGCCCATCAGTCCTTGGAGCTTCTCATTTACTGCTGCTGTTTGACTTGACTTGTTTTGAGAGAGTAGTTTACATCAGGTGAGAACAGACTGTGCTAATAAGGAAAACAGAAAAGTCATGTAAGAAGAGCAGCAAAAGGAAGTTATAGTATTTTTTTGACAGGTCATTGTCCTCTTTACTTCATCCACCCAGAGTAATTTATTTTTTTCCCTTTGTTGTTTTCTTTAAATTTAATAATATACATGTAGCTTAATACTTTGTTTTTATCTTCTCTGGCCTCAAAACCTCTAAAAGAAATGAGATCGTTAATAAAGATCCTATTATCTAAGCAGAGTATTGCACAAACACAAGTTAATGGGTAGCTGTTACATTATTTGTCTCGTGAAAAGGTAAACTATATAGTAATATATTAAGGCTGAAGCTTTAGGAAAGTTCCTGTAACACCATGCTAATTGATAACATATGCACGAGGGGAACTTGGGAATTGCAGATAGTTTTATAGAATAGTAATTAAAAAAAAAAGGCCATTGTTCATTACCGCTAGAGGCAAAGTTGGAGTACTGCGCAAAGCTAATGGATTTCAATCTCCTCATAAGTTTACAAGTCTTAACCTCTTTCAAATGTGAGAAGTGTAACTGTGGTGGAGTTACTTGGGGAGCTTAAGTGCTTCATCCTCTTACTTAAGAGTTATCCAGAACTATTGAGCCACTGGAATGTTAATTGGCATTGGTATTTTTTAACAGGTACCTATGGTCCCGAGCACTGGGTTACTTCCAGCGAGAAGTGCGGAGGTTCTCACCAGTCTCCCATAGACATCGTAGACCATCAGGCCCGTGTTGGAGATGAGTATCAAGAACTGCAGCTTGATGGTTTTGACAATGAATCTTCAAACAAGACTTGGATGAAAAACACAGGAAAAACGGGTATGTTCTTTTCTGTTTGTCTCCATAGTCTGTCTGCAGTCAATTAAAAATTCAAGCCATGTTCCGCTCTCCTCCTCCTTTTTCATTGTTCTGTTGTTTGGGTTTTGCTGCCCTTTTTTTTTTTTTTTTTTTTTTTTTTTTTTTAATATAATTTTCCAGCAGCAGCCACCTATCTCTGCCTCTGCATTCTGTGCAAAGCTAGTTCTGCAGATTGATTTTAAGGGGTTTTTTTTAAGGTGGGTTTTTTTTTTTTAGGTTCTCAGTATAAAATAATTCTCTTGGTAGTCAGTTGTTCCTCAGCATAAAAGGCTGTATAAGAGTTTCAAGGTGTAACCTTGAATTATCAGCTTTGGGAGGCTGTAACATCTAATCCAAAAGAATGCTGAGATGCAAGGCTCAGGGGGAAAGAAAGGGGAAGTCTTAGAAATTGGAAGGTTTTAGAGAAGAAAGAGCAATAACTGCTCAGAGTAGTGGGGGCTTATTAATGTGTTTCTGATATGATTATAGCACTGTGTTCTTCACTTAACTGAATCCTCTTCTGCTCTGTCTGTTCTGGCTTTTAGAGAAAAGAACAGTCAGAGCACTGCTTATTTTTACCAAAACAGTTCACTGAAAGGTCAAGGTTGATTTATATGCAAAGCTGCATGCATTTGATTACTCTTTAATTCTAAAAATGTAAAAAGCAGAAATTATAAGGCCACCCTCTTCATTTGGCAAGGTCAAATATTTTTAGGGAATTGGATTAAACCACTAATTAATTCAATTTTATTTATTGGAAGTATTTTTTTATCTGTATTAACACTCGACATGCATCTCTATAGTGCTTTCTGTAACGTGTCTCTAGTCAGAGGTCTGCTAGCAAAACCCAGGGCATGTACCTGCTCTGGGAGTTTGCAACACAGCTGTGCGTGCAGCGTGACCTCAGATACACCCGTTGCTTCCAGGGGACTTTGGATCTGAGCCGCAACCTGGAGTCCAGCAAACACTTCAGATCCAGTTCCAGCAATTCAGGATCTTAGCAGGAGTTGAGAGTTATTGCCCCTCAGATGAAGTGGAGTGACAGGCTGTGATCCTGTTTTCTTTCACCGCAAAGCAAATCCAGTTAACATAAACCACCACCAAGCATAGCTTGGGTTTTTGCTGCATTACTGAGGGTTTTTTCCAGCTTCACTAAGAAATGCTCCTCTTTGCTTTGAAAGCCTGACTTTGTTGCCCCTTGTAGCAACACGAGGTTCAGGCAAGGTTGAATGCTATGGAAATTTGGTGCTTAATTAATCTATTCATGTTATGCACCCTGCCCTTTTGGTCACAGAGGGGTGTTTGTAGTAACCAGCAATAAATGTAATTAGAAATACCACAAAAAAGTGATACGCTATTCTTCTAAGAAAGATGCTAATGCTATACTGTATGTGTAATAGGAACGTATTGCTGCACATAAAATAGGAAACCATGTTGAACTGAAACGTGCCAGCAAATTTTCCAGTCTCCATGCAGTTGGCAATGAAAGCTGTATCTTCAGTCTTCTCTGCTGGGTGATTTTAGCACTGCCGCTATATTTGATTTCCTCACCCATTGGGGTATGGATTTTTGCTGACAAGTTATTGCTTCGCAGAGCAACAGTAACTGTCACTTTTCTTGGTAACTTACGGCCTTTTACTGGTAACGTGAAGACTCTTTTTGCCTTGCTGTCATCCCTGATTTCTTCTGCTGAGCTCTTAACTCCTCCCTTACTTTATCAAGTCCCATTCCTTTTCTTGGTTTTCTGACCTTTTGAAGAAACTTGCCTGGGATTAATTTTTAAGGTGGTAAGTGGCAGAGCAGCAAACCAAGTAGGATGTTTTGGCTTGTGGGTAGAACATAGAGGCAGGCTGTGCCATAAATTGCGATGCATTTTGGCAGCAGAGTCTTGGAGCAGATGGCCGCATGAGACCTTCATATTGCAGACTGACAGAGACAGTAAACTAAATATCTGTTTAAGCAATGGTGATGGATGTGGAGGGCATTTCTCAGCAATTAATGACTGGTTAAAAGAGACAGGAGTCCGAGGGAAAGCCAAAGGCCCTTACCCTTGACGCTCATTAACTGGCAGGAAATGCGTTACTTGGGTTATTGTTATTGCTATTGGACCTAATAATTTTTTTTAGGATAGAACAATTAGTTATTTTTATGCTCTGAAATGTTAAAAGGTACAGAGATTATTGCTCTTTAGATTTGTTGTGCTCTTTCTTGTTTTTCCCCGCATATAAGGTAAATGGCAGACATGTACAGAAAACAGTGTTTCATTCAGAAAATGGAAATGGATTCATTAAGCCCCTGTCTTGACTAGAAATGCCTTTGTGCATGATTACACTGGCAGAGGCACTAATGTGGGTTCGATTTCATCACCACAGTAGCTGGTTCCCAAGTGGTAAAGATCACTTGGAGAGTATAAGCACATTTCATAGTTGTATTTGCATTAGCTGTTTTCATTTGTGCCACCTTATAATCAAGCATTAGCTGGTGTCAGCCGGGCCTCGGGCTGACGAGGCTTCTTCAAGTCTGACCTGCCCCGTGGGAAGAGCGCACGTGGCAGCACCCTTGCCAGCATTACACAGACATTGCCACTTTATGCCTTTTTAGGTCACTGAGAACTTCTAAAAACTCCTTCCACTTAGAGACACCTACTAAAATTTCTGCCAGAGATGTGGTTTTGTTAAATACTTTTCCTACGTGATATGCATCACTCTGGCTGGTCATGACCATCAGAGCCTCTCTGCTAAGGCAGGGGAAGAGCTGCTTTGTATCCAGGTTTATTTTTGCTCTCACAAGGGGGATAGGGATACAGCTCCAGCCCTGACCCTGCAAGTGGCATCACACAATTGTGATCCTGGTGGCTGTGCACCACCTCCTTTGGTTTTGTAATCTCAATTACATAGTATTTTCAGTTAGTGGGCTTTGGGGGTTGATTCCTTGCTGTGCACTCTACAGAAATCATTGGGTAAAAGCAGTGGCTCCCAAAGCCCAGTAAGGTGATGTTTGGTTATTCCAGTCCTGAATACTAGAGATTACATGGAAGGGAGGAAAGACCCCAAATCACTGGCAATAAGAGGATGCTGCTAAGATAGGAAGGTGATGGGAACATGTGTCGTACAGCTCAGCAGTGTAAGATATACTGTAAAATGAACAATTAGATGAACATTTCAGGTTGTACATCCTCCTAATTATCCTTTTAATTATTCATCTAAAACAAGTAAAATGACCCCTGACAGAGCCATAAATTATTTAGGAACTATCAAATATTTATTAGATGCAACTGAATCCCCACAGAGGTTTTTAACAGATGCACACGAATCTGCTTTCCTGTATTCCTCATCTCCTACAATTTTATCTATGGAATTTATAACCGAGTGAGATTTTCAGTATTTAAAATACTGCTGAGCTTATTGGAAATCTTTTAAGGGAGGAAGAGAGCAGTGGTGCTTTTGGTCACTCGTGTTTCACAGATCTGGCGTAAGAAGACAGTGACCACCAGCAGTACCCTGGCTGACACAGGCAGTATCCTCTAGCCAGTCCTGCACCACCCGTCTTCCTGCACAAACACTTGGATGCAAAGGGAGTGCCGAAGGAACCAGAAATCACGGAAGGAAATACCCCTGGGATGTCACTGGCACAATTTAGAAACATCTGAACGTCTCATGCAAGTTAACACTTAGATGGTTTTAACATAAACAATTTAAAGTTGAGATGTGTCTGAATTGTACAATTGCACCTGAGATGAGGCTGCTGTAGCCAACTGCGTGTACTCACGGGCGGGCAGCCCCGGTGCGGCCGAAAGCCTAGCCTTCAGTGAAGCCTGCTACTGATTCACCAACAGAGGAATAACTTTTATTTCGCAACTAGTTTTTTTTGTTTTTTCAGCAGTGAATAAAATCCTCCCTCTTACATAACAAAATTGGATTTGTATTACTATTCCCATTGTGATGACACAGTTGGCTTGAGAACACAGAGAAATCCTTGTGGGTTATGCTATTCCCATTAAAAAAAAAAGAAATCAAAAAAACCAACCCAAAAACTTTAATCACAGGATTCTGGGCACAGCAAGCAGTGGTCTGCAATGGCTTTTACAAGAACAAAATTCTAATTTTAGTTCTGTTTTTAAGCAACAGTTTTGTAAGGGATGAGCAGAAAGGATTTTGTAGGGAGTAATTTTTAGGAATCGTGCATATTAAAAATGGGAGATGCTAGAAAGGCAGGTGATCTTGTAGTGAGAGCAGCAGACAGGAATTCTTTGAAAGCTGGATTCAGCTCTTGGTTGGACCATAGACCTCCCCTGTAACATGTACCAGCTTCCACTGTATGATTTTGCCCTCTATTTGGACCTACAGCTTTTGTTGTTACATAAAATACAAAGGCTTTTGGAAATGAAAAGGAAATACAAAGAAGATCCTTTTGACCCTTATTGAATCACATAATAATAATGTCAGAGTTACTGTAATAAAACCCAGTTCTTATGGAGGACATCTCATGAGTGGGTCTCAGAAATGTTATTGTTACTCTCCCCATTTTACAGAAAGGAGGAGCAGGAAGGTTAAGGAAAGTACCTGCCATGTCCAGCAGTAAGAGGTGGGACAGGGCACAGGGGTTCCCCTCCCACCCCCCAACAAAATAGAGGAAATCCCACAAACAGAGGATCCCTTCTTTTCCTAACTCATGATCTGTAGACCTTCAGTGGTTTGTAAGGCCAAGGAACATGATCAGCCATTAGTCTCTGGAACCACATTAAACAAATTTTGATGGAGTTTGCCATTTAAATTCTAATCGAAGTCCAATAAGGAGGGCAAAAAGTCCTTGAGAAATTTGGACTTCGGGATTTTCTATAGTCTGTGTAACTTCATCATGACTTCCATAATTAGCCAGCATTACTTGTAGACTTTTTTTTTTTTACACCAATCCCTGTAAAGAGGAAAATGATGACCCAACATTTTACTTGCATTAGAAAAAGTATTCTAATATAATGAGCAAAACCTGTAAAGGCTTCAGAAAAACCGTGCTAAGAATGTCTTTCTCCTTGTTCTGTGTGTGCAGTTGCTATCCTGCTGAAGGACGATTATTTTGTCAGTGGTGCCGGGTTGCCGGGCAGATTCAAGGCAGAGAAAGTGGAGTTTCACTGGGGTCAAAGCAACGGATCAGCTGGCTCTGAGCACAGTATCAATGGCAAGAGGTTCCCTGTTGAGGTGAGTGGAAACACATGCACTTATGTTCTCGAAAAAAATAAAGTCAGAATGTATTGCTGTAGTTTGAGACGACTGTGAAATAGGGCAATGTTTCCTTCAGTGAACATATCACTTTCAAGGCCCTTCTGGCCCTCGCAGCACTCTATCTATCATCTCTTATGTGCTTTTGCAATGTCAGCTCTGAGCTCTGCTTTGCTAGCATTGCCAGCTTTCATGTCCCATGGGTTAAGTTGCAAACAGCCACTTTTCTCGTTTCTCCCATAAGCTTTTCATGTGTGGGAAGGTCTCCTTGCGAATATCCACAAAGTGACCTCATTGTCCTCCAAATCTTTTCTTTCCCCTGATGCTTACAAACAAATAGCAGCGGTTTGGGAGCCGTCATGCTAAGACCGCTGACTTTCATCAGTATAGCTTCCTTGCACACGTCCGGCCCTCTCTCTACCTGTATTCAGCTGCGGTCCCTTGCCTTGTCCTAACGGGACGTCTACATAGATCCGTGCAAACAGCCGTGCATTTGCTCTGCCTGTGCAGGAGCCAGCTGGACCCGGGCCAGCCCCGGTCTGACAGCCGCCCGGCTTTCAGAGCAGAGCGCTGCGCCGCAGCGGGAGCGGGGTATCGGCTCAGGCACGGCACCCTGCAAACGCGGCCGTGTTCAGAGCACGGGGCCGGGCGACTGTCTGCAGCTGACCGTGAGGATGTGCCTTGAGATGGCAGCGAGGGTCCCGGCGCTGTGGGCTGCTGTGGAGCCTGGGGTGCGGTTGGCTTGTCGCTGATGGTCCTAGGTCGCTCTGCCATCGGCGCAATGTTTTCCCTGTCAATAGTTTGTTGATACTTTTTACCCTATATTCAAGGTCTTGCATGGTGAGATAAAACAGATGTTATCTGGACTTACCTTTGCCTGTCAGTAAGCAGATAAGCACTTTCAGAGCATGGCACGTGGACGTGAACGGTTTGCGGGGAGTTGCACTTGCCCGGAAAGTTCACATTTGGGCAGAAATGGTTGTCTTGTGAGCTGGGTCTTGCAAGAACTTGATTCAGCCCCCAGCTTGCCATAATTTGTCACATGTGGCTTTAGCCAAGTCATGTTTTTCAGGAGGTGGGAAGGGGCTTCCAAAGCACAAAGGGAGGTTGTAATAGACTCTGGTGCATGACTAAAACCTCCGATTTTCACCTCCCTGCTCCAACTGCCCCATAACACAAGAATTGGAAGCCATTTTTTGTCTCCCAATTCTGAACCTGTACATTGGATGTTCTGTGAGGCAGAGATTTTTATCTTCTTTTTAACAAGCTTTTTCAACAGTTTCTGGCATGATGTATAGCTGTGATTTCTAACAATGGGCCACCCCTGAACACGTGGAGCAAAGGCCCAAACATTGTCATGCTGCCCTGTCTGCCTCAGTTGGCCATTCTGGTATTTGTAAATGTATTTCTGCGAGGTGGAAGGAGCACTCAGGAAGTCTACAGAGCCAGTCAACTCTTCTGTTGAAATTTCAGGGAGTGGAGATGGTAAAGGAGCCTGGGCCTTCTTGTTTGTGTCAGAAATAGTATTTCCACTTCACAAACACTTTTTTATGATGCGAAGCTTGATGCTTATGATGCTGGCTTGATGAATGGAAGCTATTTTACTTTGGAAAAAAGCAAATTCCTAAGAAATAATTTTTCTTTGGTTTAAATAGTCTTCATTTTCTTTTTGGTTGGTTGGAATATTAATTTTTTCTACTTTAAAATTGAAAAAAAAAAAAAAAGGAGACTGCCTTTCAGAATTTAGGTCACTTGTTTATGACTGCTGTGCAAAATAAATTGCTCTATCAGATAGGTTTAGTGTTAATCCTAATAATGAAAATGTAATTTTCCAAGTAACTTGTATTCACTGCAATGACAGGAACGTCTGTTCTCTGGCCTTCCTGGGTATGATGGCATTAGCAGAATTCCCACAACCTTTTCTTTACTATTGTAAAGGACAAGCAGTTTCCAAACCAAACCTTTCCCTGTTGTGATGCTATCTATTTCCTACCCAAGAATTTCAAATTTCAATCATGTACTGCAAAGGATTTTCATGGGTGGATTTTGAAGGGTGCAGTAGGTCTAAGGTGATGAAACTGAGTCCTTTTTCCCAATACATGCAAAAGCAGTCCTCACAGTTGGGATTAGACCTCTCAAATAGTAGCTGTACATGCATGCATGGTGGAGCTTTTAATTTGTAATGCTAATTGTAGTTCAGCTTGCAACTGTCTGATGCAACCCTAATTGCCTGGTGCTGGGAGGTCTGTGCCAGAAATACTGTACTTCATTTGAGAAGTGGCATTTCTAGGAAGGCTCTGGAAAGGAAAACCCAAACTCCTATCCTACAGAAAGGAAAGCCCAAATCATTCTGATTATTCTGAGCCCATGGATGTAGGTAAAGCTTTTAAGGAGCATGCAGGTACTGGCATTCCAGGGCTGCAGCAGTTACAGTGGCGATACAGCTGAAAGGAAACATTTTCGGAGTCTAACTGTGCAACCAGATGTGGACTATGCAAAACCCATTAGTTCCAAAGCACATCCCAAGGGAATGCAGATAGATCAGCTTCATCCATAGACTCTGCTCTGTGCGCATGAAGTTTAGATGTTTTTTCCTCTGGGAAACAAAGTGCTTGTTGGTAGTCTTTTTTTTTCTTGAAGAGGATGCAGAAACTAATTAGATATGTCAGATATAATACAAAGCATTATTGTTTGACCATGTTGTTTGGTTTTTATTATTACAACTAATGTGTCAGATGGTAAGGCTGTCTATGTTAATTGGTTTCCTTCATTGAAGCCCATCTGGATCATATTTTTTTGTGATTTATATGTTAAATTAGTTTGTAAGATATATGAGAACATCCTTTTGTTTCCTGCTTTAAAGGCATGTTGGATCAAAGGCGTATTATCTTGCAGTATTTTTATGCATATGTAGCATATTGTGATTCCTTTTCAAACCATGGCATATGTAATGGTATTCTTTCATTATGTGGTCTTGATTTCTTATTTATTGATTAGATTTTCCTTGGTGATACTTGAGCCTTATGAAGCAATTATGAGCTTGGCCGTCTCTGAAGTAGCATTAATGAATGGAGATGTCCACGTGCTTCAAACTTTCATCCACATCCAGGTTCCAGTTTGATACCAGGCCTGGTCAGCATTAGCCTGAAGTTTCTTTTTCCCTCCTTCTTGCCATTTTAGCACCATCATTTGGGTGAGGCCAGGAACCAGCGCTGTGCTGCTGAAGATTAAAGTGATACCATTAGCATATTGCTGTGCAAGTGGAGCGTGAATCCTAATAAGGATGTGGGCTCTGTGCCAGCTTAGAAAAAGTCTCTCCTTTTTTCTTCAAGTTAAGAAAAGTTTCTAACATTGCATTCTCTAAATTTTAATGAATTGCTGACTCCTTTGTATTTTGTTATTGTTTTTCTCCACTATAATTATTCAGGTTTTTCTTCTTCTTTCTGAAGTCGAAACAATATAAATGAACGTGCAAACCCTAGAAACCATTTAAATGGTGAAGTGACAAAATTAAAGAAGATGAGCTTCCCTCAGGCCAGGAGAGAACCCAGGTTCCCCTCATTAGAGCCAAGAGGAGTAATTGCAGCACTTTAATCTCCAGTGTCACTGCGCCGGTTAGCAGCCCTGCCTGCGCAGAGCTTGCGGCGGGCAGGGCATGCCGTGCGGGCTGCCTGCTAGGAGGGAAACCCGGCACTTAATATTTCATAGGCAAGCGAACAGCTGACGTGGCAGTGCTGTGCTGGCAGAGTTCGGTACCACCGTCCCAGCGTAACTGTGATTTTTGAGCTGCTTCGTATTCATTTTTATGCAAAATGCTGATTATTTCTGTGAAGAGCAGAAATCAGAAGAGTGATTTTAATCATGGCTGTGTTAATTTGATGTGAGCTTTGGCTGTTTATGAGCTTTCTCTTTAATGGCGCTAATTGTCAGTTATAATATGAACACCATTATACAGTAATATACAGTAATTTATTTAGTAAATGAGAATCTTATTCCAAGGACCATACTGCAATATGCCATAGAGACCTCATCCCTTTAATCTTACATGAACAAACTTGCACTGTCTAGGCCAAATTGGTAATAGGAACATCAACTGGGCTTCTGAAATAGCAATATGATTTCATACCCACAAGTACCAGCATGTGTGGTTTTGGAGATCTCGAGTTTTTCTCTATTAAAAAAAAAAAAAAAAAAAAACCCCCCAAAAACCCAACAAAACCCCACAAACCATTCAGGAGAAAATGAAGAGCTAATACCCTTTTGTGGCAATTAACGAGCTTTTGCATTATGTTGATAGATTCATTTTACTAAATTATTATTACAAAACAATCATTTGCATTAACAATTCTTGCTCTTCTTTAAGTGTGTTTCTTAGAAGACTTTCCAGGTTCTAATGGTGTCTTTGTTCTTGCTACTTCTTTGATTTTCTTCCTTTTCCCTTTGAATATACATACTAGCTTCAGCGTGGTCTAGTTCTACAGCTAGTTGCTCTAATTTGAATGCTCAGATCTCCTTGCCAAAGTTTATCACTGTGTGCCATCCTACTACTCATTATATCGCTTAAATTCTGATGTTTTATATTATCACAGGCAGAAGACAATCATGTCATTAATGTAGAAGAAATGTGTGGTATTCAGTGCACAAAAACCTTTATTTAGGTTCCCCTACAGGGAATAAACTGAGACTAGTTAATGTTTTTTTGTTTTATCCTGAATGTCAAGTCTTCCTATTCACACCTGGAGTCATCTACAGTATATGCCCAGCCTTTTGTCCACCTGTGGATGGCAGGGGATATTTACTTTTTAATGTTAGAATTGAAGCTTTCCCTGCTCTTTAGTTTTACTCTTGGTGCATTTGTAAGTCTGTTTAGATTTGTGCATGCTTTCTGATGTTAAGATGAACATATCGCAGTATGTTTTCTTGATATACAGGAGAGAACTAACACCTTGTGTTGCTGTGTTGTAGCTGGGTTTATTATT